AATGGGGAAAACTAGAAGATTGTCAGAAGGAATGTTGTCATGTGTAACTTAGACATCTCATTAAAATCCAGGCCACCTTCCATTCAAGACAATTGGAAAACTGCTATTAATTTGCAAATAGGTAACATAACCTTCAAACAGAATATTAGCAAAAGTTTAAGCAAGTGGCAAATAGTTGAGCCAGAAATTGATCACTGGATGGTCCTGGGGATATACTTCAGACATTCTTTTATTCATACCTCAATGTAATACTCTCTACTGAGAAAACTATCCTTATTCCAAAGATTTTGCTCTTTAAACATGTGCAAAGATTGAGAAGATGCACTTATTATGACAGCAGGTCAGGTTGTGAGCTGGCGTAAGTTCCTCTGGCTTTGGAAATTCCATCATTTCATTTGAGCAATGAAAATTTCCACCACCAAGATGTTGCTTATGAAATTTTTGTAAACAATACTAGATACAATGAAGTTATGAGATCTGGTAACAAACAAAACCATGAAATTTTGCAGAAAGAAGTTAACAACAGCTGGGGAGCCATGTGGGTATTCAAACACAGGTACCTGGTGCCTCAGAATCCTTTAGGAATCTGAGACATTTCACAGGACAATGGTAAATGTTACTCAGGTGATCTATATCCTTTTCAAAGGAATGCAAAGGGCGGCCAGGTGATCTGTCTTAGCTCATCTGAGTACAATAAAATCCAATAGCTGCCACCAGGAACCAAAACCCCACTGCTGGCCTCCCATGGAGAAGAAAGAAAAAGATTTCTTAGTGGTAAGAAAGAGCTTGTTAAAAAAAAAACATACAAACAAATGGCTATATGTATATATGTACAGGAGGACTATTTAAGTTGATAGGACAAAGATTGAGAGCAGGAAACAATGATTTGGCAACCATGCATAAAGTAGGGGGTTAAAACTAGATGATCTTTGAGGCCATTTTCAACCCAGGCCATTCTGTGATTCTACAAAGGCTACTGAAACATCCAACAATGACAAAAAAAAAAAAAAAAAAAAATCTTCTGACTTGGTTTTACTAAAAACAGTAAATGTTTTGTATTGCTGAAAGAGTTGCCTGTGAATTAGAAAACGGTGGGTTAGATTAGCATATATGGAATATGTGATCATATAAAATAATTAACATTTTTTTTTTTTACCAGAGTATGTCAGAGATTGGAAAATAAAGAGTGGTCCTGGTCCTACTGAACCCAAGGGCAATATTCTCAGGAACCTAAATGGCTGTTTTGTTACTCTCTATACTCTGTATAATTTAGATAGATAATTTACAATATGATTGCATTAATCCTATATCTGTATTGTTTTCTTTGCAAAACATATTTGTTTATATGGATTGGTGCTGCTGTTATTAGATGTTACAAAAAACACTGCACAACTGTTCAGAAACAAACCTATTGTAACGTTCAATTTTCTACCAAGCAACTGTGATTACTTTCTCTTCCTTTCTGTTTGTTTGTTTTGCTATTTGTTTGGTTTCTAAGACTTCTGAAATCAGTCCCAGGACTTCCACAGCACATAGCTGTCACCAGGCCTTACCTAACCCAGTAAGAAGTTTTCATAGAGCTGGTCCCTCCCAGTGACTCCAGGACAAGTGACCACTGTCACAATTTTACAACCCTGCATGATGCAGCTAAGCATTTGTACTTCTGGCCCAAGTTTCCCCTTCGGCTGATATTCTTTAGTTCTTGTCAGATGCAGCTTGCCAAGAAGCTCAGCTTCCAGTTGTGGTTCACAGCTCCTACTAAAGAAACTGCTTTATTTATTCCTTAAAAAAAGGCTTGCACAGAGGGTGTTAATGATTCTTCTTCCAGCATTGCTGGTTCTACTCAAAAAACAAAGCCTCCTACCCCAAAACAGTGTGAAAGTAGTGGAGAAGTGTAAATAGAGCTCAGAAAAAGGAAACAGCTATGAGAAACTAGCCAGAATCCTTTTGGAAAATTCCTAATAGCAGTATCTCCTCACCCACACACACATATTATCCTACCAGAAAAAAAACATATGAAGTGGGCAGCAAAGCACTCCCACAGCTCAAGTGCAAGCAGAAAGATTGGGCTCCACTATAAATACAGACAAACTGCAAGATAGAAAACTGTTTTAGAAATAATTTTATGCAGTGAGCTTCCACCGGCAGGGGAAGGTCATGTGTAAGGTTTGTTTAGAGCAATGCAAGACTAAACATTCTGCCAAGTCTTCCAGCTTTCTGAGACAGAAGAACTTTTCCACAGACTTCAATAACTTCTTCAGGAAACGCAGCAAGATATTTCAGAAGCCTTGCCTAAACACCTGCAGTGAAGGATGTAGAAAGTAATACAACAGTGTATTGAATCAAAAATGGGCCAGACCAGGAAAATTTGATTATCTTCCTCAGTAATTTAATACATAAGTAGATATAGAAGAGGGATCTTAGAGAGATCTGCAAAGAGATCATTTTGAGAACTGCAAAACCAAGCTGGCTTTTTAAGCACAACCCTACCAAGTAAGAATGGGGCTCTAGCTCTCTGTTTTCACTCCATACTCTGCAGCTGATCTGTATATGGAATTAGGAACCATATTCTTCAACAGATGTCTCTTTTGGAGAAGACTTTCCTTTCCTCCCCCACTGCAGCTCCTGCACACATAGGGAAGAAGCATCCAAATGTCAGCTTGCAAGCTTGCAGCTGTTCAGGGCTCTCATGTGATCCCAGAGGCTTCCCTCACCTGCCTGGGAGCTCCCTCAGCACAGCATCCCCTCCATCAGCTTTTTGGCAAATACAAGAGCAAATATGAGGGTCAAAGCTGGCACTGGCATTTAATGTAATAAATACTACCTGCCACTCATACCTCGTGCCATCATTTTGAGTTGAAGATGCACCAATAAAAATGCTCTGTATTTGCTGAGTGACAAAACTTAACCCTTAAAGCAGTCTGCACTGTAAATAGCGACGCCCTTAATTTTTTTTAATCCTTTCTCTGTAGTCTCCAGCACACAACACACACAACACAGATAATTATTTTTCCACTTTATCCTCAGCTGATTTCAGTTCATTTCTGTTCTTGGAGATTTCTATTGTGCATAAGTTTAATACAAATACACCATCTGTAATTGGATCCCAAATAGACAACACTAAACTGTCTTTTTTTTCCCCCACTGATGCTCAAGACTTCTGGCAAATGATTAGAGGGCTCTTCTCTGTGTTTCAACCCATAATTAAAGGACAGGACTATTTGGTGTCTCATTCCTCAGGCTCACAGTTCCGTGTGAGCTGTAGACATTTTATAAACATGTAAAAAAACTTACCAAGAAGAATAACTTTACACTGCAACCCAAGTGGAGAAGTTACAGATAAGACATGCCAAGAAAATATTCAGAAAAAAATAATCACTCAATTTTTCATTTACTTACTTGCATTAAAAAAAAAAAAAAAATCTCTAATACCTGATTTAGTTGAAGTGCAACCTTTTCCTAAAAGGGCAAAGTCATTGTATTGTTAGTCAGACGCTTCACAGTGGCCTCGTGTTTCAGGATATGAGTCCAAATATGGAAAAAACTTACCTAGCCTGAAAAGCTGGAGATTTTGAATCTGTTTCACTGATTATTTCTACTTCTCTCAAGATGAGTGATGAAAATGTACCAACCAGCTTCATGCTCTGCTTATTTGCACCAAAGCAAAACTATTCATGCTGCATTCACAACTTTGCTGAGCACACTGCAAATAGCTGGTTGCCTTTAGGCTGTTCTTCTCCAAGTTTTTGACCACAACCTTCATCAGTTAGTTTTAAAAAAATATAATGTTTCTGGTTATTACCATGACATTTCATGAAATTGATATTCTCTATTATATAGTAACAGGAAAATAACATCAGATACCATGCTATTTAAATTACTTATCTAAGAGCTTTAATGATCTGTTGTATTTCTCCCTTCTATTCTGTGTGCAGCACTTGAATTAACTTTCATCTGTTTTTGCTGTTTCTTTCAAGTATAAAAAGGCTTCATCACGCAGAATCCTGCCAGCTTTCTCTACCAGCCTGCCCTTTTGTAGGTCTCCAGGAAGGGAAATGGTGCTGGATTTCACCAAGTATACCTTGTGCTCAAGAATCCCCTCTGACTGTCCTTATCAGACATCCTCTCTAAATCTTTGCATTTTCCAACCATGACACAGGCTATGGTTAATTTTTCCTATAAATATATTAACTCAATTGAGAAAAAGCAGGTTAGGATGACTGGGGAAGAAAAAGATGGAGAAATGGACTGAGGAAAGCATCTGAGCTGGAGCAAATCAGAGACGTGGTTTGGACAGAGAGGGCGTTACTCACAACATTTATAGGTGACACTTCCAGCCAGAATCCAGCACGCAGTCTTCCAGTGGAGCATCCAGAGCAAGAGAAAGAAGGTGAGGTTCCCTTTTCCACATGCAGCCACTGAAGTCAGAAGACCTAAATAACAGTTTTGTGCTGCTGACTGGCTGCTGTTGTACAGGGAAGGAATTACTTTCTGCCTACCTGGTTTAAGTCCCTGCGAGCACTATATTCCAGCACAGAGGCCAGGAGGAAAATCCATTGCCTCCCAATGTAGAAAGAGAGGAAAGATCTACTAAGCACAGAGGCCAGTCACATCACCATCAAGTCGTCACAGATGTGGGATGGGAAGAATATGTTACATTTTCTGTTTGGGTTTGGAAACCAGCCAGCATAATTATTTAATTCCTTCTCACGATGCTTTTATCCATACCTTTTAAGTAAGTTTTATTAGAAGGCAGGCTAATTTCAAATGGCCTTTCCTCTTGTCTTGTTTGCTTGTTTATAAGCATTAGAACTTTTGTATGAAAGTAGATGGCCAGAAGGAAAAAAAAAACAAAAAAAAAACCACAAAAAAACCCTATAGATTAGCATGCCATTTACCCTGCAAAGAACTTTAAAAAAAAATCCCTTGTGCAAAGTTAAAAAGAAGAGGGATCCAGACAAGTAGAAAGACTTCAGTATCTTCCTTTTCCCTCTGCATAGTCAGAGAAAGAAAAGAGGTTATTTGTGAAAAGCCACCATGGACTGAGCCTGCAGTCTGATAAACAACAATAACCTTTTTCTTGACACTAATTCCTTTATTATATTTTTAGAAGAATTTAAAAGCCACTTATTTTTGAAAACTATGATTTCAGGAAAAAGTATAATTTTCACATTTCCTCTGATGTGTTGTGTGCCCTGCTGTGTTATGACATTTCAAGTTTCATCAAGTCACATTAATTTAGATTCTCACATGTTTTCTCAGTGGAACCTGCTCTCTGGGTCAATTTTCATTCATTGTTTGATCACTTTAATGTATTTGTATTACTGAATATTTGGGCCATATTAACTGATCTTCCCATACCCCATGCTTGCAATTCATTAGCAATGATTTCTCCTCTCTACATGAAGAAAGAAAAAAGAAATGAGAGAGAAAGAAAATGAGAGAAAGACAAAGACTTAGGAAAAAAGTGAACAGCAATTTAGAGCAGAGCTTGGGATGTAGCCTGGTCTGTCACTCGGGATTTGTTTATACTAGCAAATTTTCTCTGGTGCAACCAATGTAGATTAGTGACCCGGTAGAAACCTGTATAATAAACACATTTCTCTGGTTTTAAGACTTCCTTGATTTCACTCTGTGTTTTGACAAGCGCTCTTGAAGCAGTGCAAGTTTTAGAGATTTGCATTGGCATTAAGTAAAACAGTCTGCTGGATCCCATCAGTACAGAAAGCCATCCTATTTTCCAGGCTGGGTCAATGCTGATGTGAGAGCTGAACACCTTTGTGGTGTTGGACCTCATTTGGGTCCACTCTTCCACAGGCTGAGGCACAGCACATATCTGTAGGGATAAATGCAGCCAAGATCAGTCACTGTGCCTCTTCATCCAAACCCCACTGAGCCCTGCTGCACACAGTGGGTAAGATTGGGGTTAGAAGTCTGCCCTACTGCCCAGAAGCCCAAGCACTCAGATTTCTGCTGCCCCTCCCTCAGATTGTGCCTGAAAAGCTGAAATACCCAAATTTGAACATCTTAAATTCCCAGAGGGCATGGAAAGTTTGTGCAGAGGCACAGCTAAGGCACAGTTTCACTTTTCTTGCAGCTCCTTCCATAAACAAAGGTCAAATGATAAAACAGTAAGCAAGGGAAACAGCAAATTTTATCTAATCTTTCCTTATATTTATTAAATTAATGAGTGAATTGCCCACTTCTTCCCATACTTAACCCTGGAGGTGAGGACATCACATAGAGCTCAACTGTTGAATTGGACTTTAAAATTTTTGTTGGACTCTCAACCTTCAAAATTCCTTTCCTAGTCCTAAAAGCAGCTCCACCAGTGGGAAGGGACAAAGCTGGGGATGGGAACTTGTCTGACACAAGCATTTCAGGTCTTTGGGTTGCATTGTCTTTAACCTGTTTGGAGCAATCAGGTGATGTAGTTTGTTACTGATGGCTGGATTTCAGTGCAAACCTTTCTTCCAGACTTTTCTAATTCTAGGTGAGCTGCCACAAAGGCAAAAGACCGGAAAACTCTATAAACAGAGGGGAAACTCTTAAATGTAACCAGAGCCACTGAGAAACCAGCCTGCCCACTGCAATGGTCTCCTCTTTCTGAACAAAGATGCTGATAAAGCCTCCCCTAAAGGATTGGCTGAAGCAAACTAAAAACATCAAAGCCATGGAAAGTGGGCAGAGAAGGCTTGTCAGAACAACTTGAACAACCTTTGTATAACTGACAGCAAATGGGCCAGTGCCACATGCTTTCCAGGAGGGAAAACAGCACAGCTATGACAGCATATCCATTACCCTCTGGATGCTGGTGACAGCAAGAGTAACCTATGTGCTTACATTTAGAGATTAAAGACAGCAACCAGCCCCAACAGGACATTATGTCCCCAGATGCTGTGCAGCAAAGGATACTTGTATAAAATGGCAGCGGCATACCACAGGTAGAAGCACACAATGGCCAGAGTTGGAAGGGACCTCAAGGATCATGAATCTCCAACCCGCCTGCCACATGCAAAGCCTCCAACCTCCCCATTTAATGCTAGACCAGAAGCAGGCTCATTTCTCCCAAGGGCAGCACCAAAAAAATCCCTTCCATGCACAGAATTTAGCACTAAGTGGCTACAAACAATGGTTCCTCGCTCTTGCTTGGGCTGGGAAAAACACTACTCCTGCTTCTCTGAGTGTAACTGAGATAATATGGTAACTTGTACTGACGCAAAGCATTACCTTGCCAGCTACTGCACGTGAAATCCAAACCAATCTTCCTTTTGCCAAGGAATTGTACTTGATAAAATACATCCACAATAGTACATGAAGAAGAGCCTGGAAATAAGCATTTGACACAGTCCATACCAAAAAATTCTTCAATCAAGGAAAAAAAAAAAAAAAAAAAAAGCTGTTAAAACCTCCTGAAATCCCTTCCCAGCAGCCTGCTGCAGGGGTGAACAGATTCACTCTTCCTTCAAATCAAAGCCCTTTGTTTTTTCTTGCGCTTCCCACTCTTCTTTCTGCCTTTACATTGTAATCAATACAGTCTAAGCTTAGGGAATATTACCAGGGCCATGATTGCAACCTCTAACATTATAATCCATAGGGTTGCTGGGAGCATTAGAACATTCAGGATAAATTAATTCAGGGTAAGTTAAAGCTTTGAAGCTAGGAGCATCACCAGGCTTTTGAAGCTTAAGCCCTGTTTAGATTACTTGATTAAAGTAGGTCCAAAGCTTCACCAATCAATATAGTTTGCTTAGGAACAGAGTTGATACAGAAGCATATTTAATGGGATCTGCAGCACCCCGCCCAGAAGACAGTCCTTGAAAATGAGATAACATGCTGGGGGGGGGGGGGTGGGGAGAGGCAAAATCATTGCCATGTTTTGTGCACGTCTGCAAAGCTTACTTGCAGTGGCTGTAAGAAATATCTTGTGCAAGGAAAAAGGGAGCAGGGGAATCACTAGGAAATTTTAGACTTGGGAGAGTAGCTGAATCTTCTTTTAATCTCAAATTCTAAAAAAATGACCCAAGGTGCATAGATCTATCTACATCCATGCACTCTTAAAGGCATAGGCTTGCCCTTCAGCCAATTTCAGTTTTGCCACCAGTGCCATGGAATTAGGGCTGAGGGTTTAGTTACCTGGATGGCAACAGCTCTGAAAAGATTACTGACATCGTACCTACAGCCAACGTCAAACAAAACACCATTCTTTGTACTAAAATAAGGAGCTACAAGAGCCAACTGGTACGTAGGGTTTTCCAGCTCCCATAACATTATAACATTTACATAATCTCTTTAAAATACTACAATTTTAACAGCCTAGTGAACTTTGCTGGGCTTTCCACAGAACTGAGAACAGACAGTACCAACACTGAATTTTGCCATCAAAGTCTACAACATTGTATCCACACTAAATAAAGTTAAAGGCCAGATCTTGAACTGATGAAAAGTCTTATTATCTGTGTACAGTTCAGCTGAAAAAGATGTACTTTAGCCTGAACATTAGATCACACTTGAGAAAAGCCAAAAAATACAATTTTGTGGTATTTTGTTGGTCACCTGAGAAGAGGAGCATGCAACAGTACTCCCTGCTGAGACTTACAGTAACGGGGGAGAGCACAGGTTCACCTTTGTCCCTCTTTCTTTGCTCCACAGTTATGCCTGCCTGGTGATTCACGTGTAAAGTTTCCCTCAAGTAAGGATTAGGGAAAGACAAATTAGGAGGTCAAGACAAATCAAAGAACACCCACAAAAATACTTTGCATCAGCAGAGCACAAATGAAGCTAACGCTGCAGTTGGCAGAATGTAGGGCAGCCCTCTGGTTAAGAGCTGGTAAAGCCCTGGTTACACGGAATGGTTCGACAGACAGTGCTTGAGGTCCTGGGCCGCCATGCAGGGAGCTGTGCTTGGCCACCTGCAGTGGACAGGAGGTGAACTCCCACAGTGAGTGGCTCTCATTAGGTGGAAGCTGTGGACACCTGGAGCACTCAGTCAAGGGGAGGAAATGACAAAGATGGCTTCAGGGCCAGCCCTGGTGGTCGGAAGTAAGGCTGTCTTTTGTACTCCAAGGGAAAACATAATCCATTTATACTTCTAATTGGACTTGATTAGATATTTAGACAACTTATCTGCAGTAGCTATTTAAGTGAATTAGTTGTATGTTTCAGCCTACTGACTATCTAGAGGGCTCTCACTTCATGGCACAGCATTTCTCCTCCACTTCCACCGCAAATACTAGCCCTGGCTCCCACGACAAGTTTCTCAGTGATGTGATGCCTTTCAGGACACCCTTCAGCTTTGGCAGTCCCTCTGCAGCCCCCTGGTGCTAGAGCTCTGGGCTTTTCTCCCTTCTCCTAACCTTAATGGTCTGAGTGGGCTGGGTCTTACCCAGAGAACTCTGCCCATGCCCATCTGAAACACTTCTAGGAGGACGATCCTTTTGGCAGTCTGAGCTTCTGAGCTTCTCATCTGCCTCAGAATCTGTATTTTATAGACCATACCTGCTTTTTAAAATGAAATATGTTTGCCTTTTCACTTTTTTTTAATACACATCATATAGTGATCCTCATGGCAAGCTCTCATGTATTTTAGTGGCATTAACAGCCTGCACCAACAAACAACCAGAGGTTTTTTGAGGGATACAAGCTTTCCCTGCCTTTGGGCCCATGACCTTTTTTTCTCCCCATGAACCCTAAGTGAGAAACGATTATAATTCAGCCTTTCAAATACAGCTAGGCACAAGTGTCTACTTGGCTGTTTCAAGAAGAATTGCTTAATTTTTTTTTTTTTTCTTCCCAACTCTAGGAAATAAATACTGCCTTTTCTTTTTCCTCCACTGACATTTAATGCTGAAAAGAAGCTGCCTAGCATAGGCTTCAGTGCCCTAAGTTCCTCTGTGAGGATCATAGCAGGGCCCTGCTTCTTGGCCACTGATGTGTTCCACAGCCTGGGGTCTTCTGCAACCCTTCCAGTTGCTGTGAGTATGGCTGATTTGGATTACAGTACAGCCTGGTGGAGATGAGTAATTTTCTTCCAGTTAGGTACATTGTCACAGGCTGTTGATTTTACTGCAGGCTCATTTGAAAGGAGTGGGGAAGCAGCATGGCAAGGCAAGCAAACAATACAGCACAGAGCTTGGGACATCTGAGCAATAGGCTTCTTGCTCCTCCAATTTAAGCAGCCCTGTTTTCACATCTGTTTGCACTCCAGCTTACTAAGACAAACACAATGCCTGCGTAAGACTATGTCTTTCTGAGAGGTCAGACTCTGGGTTAAATCTAGGTAAATAGCTGATGGTGCAAAAATGGAGATAAAAAGAAATGTGAAAGATACATAGTACCCAGATTTTCTACTAGATGCAGTCTGACATCTAGAATATACTGCAGTTGTCCAAAATGAAGAAAAACAAAATGCAAGGAAGAAGAAAGGAGGATGGAAACACTGCTTTTCAGAAGTAGAAATGCATCCTGATGTGGTACCCAGAAGTCAGTTGATAATTCTCCTCCAAGTCATTTCATAAACAGCATGATTTCTAGACTGTGATTTTGTTATCACTCACATCAGCACTCACCAGCCTCCAGGCCACTGGATACAGTGATGCTGAGGCTAACCAGTTCAGGAAAAGCCCTCCAGGCATTATGTTGATATTACTTTACTTCAATAGCTAGTGAGGAGCCAGACTCCCTGAGCATCCCCAGAGCCTCCAGACAGTGACAGAGAGCCACAAGGTTACACCTACAGAAGCTCTTCCAGCACCCAGGAAGCCTCACCTCATACTGTGAGCACCTGTTTTAGATGTTTACAGTTAGGAGATGTTAAATGGCTCTGACTTCTGCCTATAGAAAGTTAATACTGAAACCGGTACTGTGTGTTGTCACTTGGGGGATAATCTAGTACAAATATTAAGTGAATGCTCCATCACTGTAATTGAATGCTCCTGTTCAGACAGTGGCACTTCATTACTAGGGAGGAAGAAGTCACACAAGGCAACAGTGGCCCAGATCTCCAGGAACAGCTGCGGTGATGGGACAAGGGCTGTGATGGCACAGAACAGGCAGCCAATATGCTTTAGAGCGGGTAAAATGCTGTGAGAAGTGGTGAAATCAGGTAGGGTTGCCTGTCTTGCCTGGGGTACTCAGTTTCTCTTTGGATTCTCCTTTTTTCCCCCTCAGAAATCCCTGGCTCAACAAGGAGTGTATCTATGTGGAGACCCAGCAGAGCTCATAGTCAACCCTGCCCAGGCAAACCTGCCTAGGACACACTCGCATAGTTTCAACATCCTGAAATGTGGTTCAGATCATCATTCATGCCACCAAGTTGAAGTCTTTCAAAATCAGAAGATCTTGCAGAGGCAAAGCCATCCTGATTTCCAGAGTCAGATACTAGCACTTGCTTCTGACAGGGCTTCCTTTGCCCAGGGCTCTGGGATGTCTCAGAGCCAGCACCAGAAACCTCCGTTCTGCCACATCTTTCTCCCCTGCAGTCAATGAACACTTTCCTTTCCCTGCTCTTCCCACTCATTGCTTGCAAACCTCAGCGATTCAAAATAGCTGATTTCAACGTCTTTCAGACAATATTCCCCAAATCCAGTTTATGCATGGCAGATCTCCAGCTGAACAGGAACAGCCCCTCCCCACTGCTGTGCTAGGAAGGACAGCAAGCCTTGCCCACCTGCAGTAGGCCAGGTCTCTCCCTCCAGGGGATGATCTTCTTACATCACTGCGTGACACAAACCCCACTGTATTTGAATACTCAAGTAGTGTGGCTTCAGTAAATAAGGTGGTGAATCAATTAGGTTAGAATAAGCAAGTGCAGTAATTAGTATGCCAACAGCAGAATAAAGCTATTTTTTAAATCACCAAACAGCATTGCTCTTTACTATGATTGCAGAGATTATGTAAGATGGTGATTAAATCAGGTCCCTGCATCACAGACAGATCCATGTTTTAGAGGTACAGAAACAAAGTTGCAGAGGAATGAGAGAGACAGCATTGTTTTAAATGGCTCTCTCTGTTCGCATTTCCTAATGAAGTGTAAAGCAGCTGCATCACCAACCTCTTCCAACTCACGCTACTTTTTCTAGGCAGCATTTTGCCAAGAAATCATTTCCTTTTTAAGATCAGCTGAGTACTTCTGGGAACATCAGCTCAGGAGAAATCTGCTGCATCACACCCCAGAACTCAGCCGAGTCACCAGGCATCCCTTATGTGCAGCGCTGACACCTACAGAGCTTCCAGCAGAAGTATTTCACTCATTTGTACATCACTTTGTTGAAGATTCTGCACTTTGAGACCAAGCTACCAAAAAAAAAGATGCTGCTGTTTTCAATCACAGCTACTTGGAAAAAGCCTCTAGAAATTGATTGTCATTAAAGACTTGGCAAGAACACTGCTTATGATGATAAGCAGAGATTTTAAAGTTTTGTGTATACTGCCTCTTGCACTGTAATGCTCAGATTGCTGTATTTACCATCATTATTTGATTTCTTACACCACAGTGGAGAGCAGCATTGCTAATCAAATATAAAGAGGCAGCCAATCCCAACACAAATAGAAATATAAATATAAGCCTGCACATTTATAGGCAATCAGGACTATGTCAAACAGCATAAGATAAAAAGCACAGTATATGCTTGTTGTTAAATCAGACAAACATTTGTCTCACAATATTTTCACAGCTTCTCACCACTGTTAATCAATCATCAGCTGTATTTTAAGATGAAGTTTCAAAATGCTTTAATTACCTTAGTGGGAAACATGCCCAATTATAGCATCATGAGTTATTAAAGCTGAGAATTTATTCATTTGTAGCAGTTTTTTAACAAAATCAACGCAACAGAAACTGTTATTATTTGATTTCCTGGCATAAAAGATCTCTAACACACAGAAAAAAAGCCATTTGCCATTACTTGCATTACATTCTCTGATTTCTTTCTAGACAGCTTTGTCAGACAGCATACATAGGCAAGCAGTAACACCACACGTGGCCTTCCTTGCAGGAACATCAAACCGATATAACACAAAGACCATACAGACAGGCATTTTGCACTTACCCATTCTGTTGAAGATGTTCTCCTCCTGCAGACCACCGAGGTGAACCTGGGCACACAACACCTCCCATCAGGCCTCCTCTGTTCAGTGCCCCCTCAGCCTCATGCTAGGATCTGTGAAGGATCTTTACTTCAGCACAGAGGTGGCCAGAGAGGCTCCTGAACAGCCATGCTGTCATGTAGGGAGCATTGGGCAGCAACAGCTATCAACACCCCAGGGGATTCGGTAGGCACATGCCTCTGCATCCTCCTCAGACGCAGGCCAGAGAGCCCTGATGGTGCTTCAGCCTGCAGACTTAACTCAGCACATACCCTCAGACAGCCAGTGAGGGGCTGTGGTTGCCAGGAGACCCCAGGTTTCAGCCTAAGGGCACTTCCAAGCTACAGCCTTGACCCAGTCACACTAAGAACCAACCAGCTCTGAGCTGAGGTCAATAAAAAGGAGAAACCAGCTGAGCACCATCACTACAAATGAGCAGAGTAGGGCAGGTGCATTTAACGAGGGATCTAGCAAATATGGGGGCTGGAAATTCATTTCATAGCAACAGGGGTATGCAAATCTCAGAGCGATAGACTACAGTCTGTTGATCACTTATGCTGCAGCTTGGACACCTCTCAGGGCCTCTGTCCTATAGTGGTCTGTTCTGGGGGTAGGGACAGCCCATAAGAAAGAGGAGCTAAGCAGCAAAAGAGCCTCACAGAAGTCCCTTGGGCTTCTCACACTGCCTTGCAGCTTGCCAGAGGCATTCTGACAAGCTGTGTGTAACCTGTGGTAAAAATATGGATGTTAAGGCTGGAGGTAGGACAGGTGTTCGTGTAAGTGGCTGATTGTTTGTGTGCTTTCTAAATACCCAAATGAGCGATCAGCAGTTTGTGTTAATTGACAATAAAGTAAAATTTGGCACTTGAGACCATTTTGCCCGCGACAGACAAATTTCATGGTTGCACAAAAAGCCTGTAGCACCGCCAGGGTTCAGCCTGCCTCACACAGAAGGCCTAGGGCAAACTGCTTGGGTCTTCCTGCAACTCCCTGAAGGGAAGCCTCTGTTTAGAAGCCGTGAACCTCTGCTGGGCTGTGGGAGCCAGCTATCCCCTATATGGCAGTTCTCTGAGTGCGCTGAGGTGCTGCAGGCTCTGAGGCCGTGGGCAACATGCGGCGCAATGGTGGCTGGGCCAGCAGCAGGAGGGGAGCCAGCAGGGGAAGATGGCGCAGAGCACAAGTTACGCGTATTCTCTTCACCAGTCTCCTCTCGGTCTGAGATTTTTGGTCCTCACCTTCATTACGTTGCTGCCACAGTGGATGCTGAGAATACATTGCAAAAGAGAACTTGTGCGGCTCTAAGTAGCGGCAAAAAAAGTTTCTGTTAGACAAAAGCATTCCTCCTTCTTCTCAGCCTCTTTACGAGTTAAATCTGCATCTGAGGCTCTTCTCAGAGCCCATGTTGAAACCACAACACCTGAGGAATAATTTGTAAGATTTTTCTCTTCAGATTCACTTGAACTGGAGAAAGCTACAAGGCAGCTACTATTCCTTTGTATCCTTTACTGTTCACCTTCTGAGGAGATGACTTGCGTGCTGTTTCCCCCGTTCTAGCTTCATTTTGGCTAGCAGATCTGTGCAGACAGGCATTGAGTGGCCTGGGTGCACAGCACTGATCCCTGTGGCAGTCTGGGAGCAGCCTCAGGAGCAGGATATCTGCTGTAAGGTGAGGGACTGATTCGCTTTACGCAACCGGCTTTCAAGCTTCACAGTATTTCCTCCAAGCATTCCCTTTGTACTGCAAGCTACAGGAGTAACTTGGCAAAAGGACTGGGAATCCTGTCCTGCAGAAACCAGCATAAAGATTAGTAGGCACTGTTTTTCAGACCAGTCCTGTTACATATGTCTGATTACTGAATCTCTTCAGACAGAATCATAGAGATTGGAACTGGCCACTAAGATAATCTAGTCCCACCATCAACCCATCGCCACCAGGCCCACTGGCCAGGTCCCTCAGTGCCACATCTACGTTTCCTGACTGCACCACCTCCCTGGGCAGCCTGTGCCAATATCCCACCACTCCTCCTCAGAAGAAATTTTTTCTTAATAATTCCCAGGAAATCAGCTTTGTTTCCAGGCTGCAAAACTTGATGACAAAGGAAGATCAGACTCTAAATTAAACAGCAATTTAATATGATATCTAGTAATTTGCATATGACAGCAAATTAACACGATTCCTACTGCAGTGAAAATACAAGTAACATCCCACTGGGGTTAGAAGTACTTAAAAATGAAGCAATTCATTTGTGAAAAAAAATCACTGTTATCACTCTATAATACCTGAGTGTATTTTGAAGACAGTACTCACAAAACTACAATTGTTCAATTGATGCAACTCAGTAATTTTTATTGCAACTGGAAGACAATACATCACAGAAACTTTATGGTAGGTTTTGGGAAAGTGTTATTTACAATAATAATTGATGAAGTAGTTTGTCTTTGGCAATATGATTACACATCAAGAAAATGTAAAATGCAAGTATGCCTCTAAATCAACATTTTCATATTCCCTAAAGATCAGCTGATTGCACTTGTCTTCGGACTGCTCATTTAGGTAAACACAAATACAACTTAACATCACTGTTCATTCCCCATCACAGTTTGTATTTTAATATTGATGAAATTGGCAGTTTCAGACGCCAAGTACAGGAAAAAAAATTGGCTTATCACTGTACTGAATTAACATATTGGCCAGTTAAGGTCCTGTGACCCTTAAGCACTGATATTAAATCTCTTGGTCTTTTGATTGCTTTATCACTTTTTTTTTTTTTTTTTTCTGTAAAACAAAATATTTCAGAAATTACAGATCAGAGTATAAAAAAAATGTACAAGTCCATAATGCTTTTCATACACACACAAATCATTCCCCCCGACATTTTACATCATGGCAGTTTTAAGTAGTGAGTGTGAATGATGCAGGCATGGAACTGGTTATCAAGTACAGGTATTACTTTCAATTGTCATCCCACATACATACTCAGAAATGTACAATGCTCTGTTAACTTAAAAATGTAACGAAGTTCAATGGTTAATCTGAAAGAAAAAATGTCTTGGCATTTTAGGCCAGAGTAAAGAGATTCCCATTTCTAGATGATGGCCGTTGCAGAATGCAACACACAATTCTAGCACAAGTTGCAGTTATCCCTTAAACCCTCAGATAATGAACTCTCAGACTGCTGGCCTGATCCAACGGCCAATGAAATTAAGAGAAAAAGAAAAACTGAAACAGAAACGCCTTCCACTGCCTGTGAGAGGCTGTTCCATCAGGCCCGTTTCCCCTTTTTGCTAAAGGAAACGTGATACAGTAGAAAAACCATGATACAGCTTCAGATAAATACTTCATGTTTCAATGCTAAAACAAAAACAAAACCCAAGCTCCCCAAACCAGGAAAGGCTACTTATTAGAACAACTCAAAGTGACCTCTAGATCATTTCTGGTTTTAAATGTACACCAGCAAAATACAGCACCATAGACACATTAGGTTGAGACTTTTTTTGGTCAGTGAAGCTAGTACTTGTTGGCTGAACTGTGGAAGAATTGTAAGGTCATGTACATGATAAAGCAACCCAGCTGACAAGTCTCTGCTTAATTCAAGAATAACCAGTACTAGAAGTAAAAATGCAAAAAAAAAACAAAAACAAAAACAAAAACAAAACAAAACCAAAAAAAAAGAACAAAAAAACCCCTAATAAACCACCATTAATACTTACTAAAGAAAAGGGGATTAGCAGATGAATTCACAAATGTATGCAGATTTATACAGAACACCGAATGTTGTGTGTAAATCCTTATAAACTCCAGCTTAAAACAGAAACACACAAATGTATAGTTTGACTTACACATTCCATTTCAAAGGAAAAGAGACATCATTACAACTTGGTAACTGTGCTAAATGCAATATAAACCAAACAGAAATTCAAAGTTTGGCAGATAACTAAGAAGAGGGTTATCACTTAGGTTATATAGCAAAGTGTTGATGTATATTACATAGAGTAGTATAAATAATAAAAAAGTATTATTTAAATTAGATCACAGTGCTGCATTATGTGCATAACAGTGTTTGATATATTACTGGAGGGCTGTGAAGAACACTACTAAAACTTAACTGGTCAGACAGTCAACACTGATATTCTGTTACAATCAAGAGGATGTATGGTTCAAATGCTCTTTTGGTGGCAAAGTCAAGAAAAAGTTTTCAAAACATTTCCTGTAAAGTATGCCCATGAGCTGTTCAAGCAGCAGCGGGATACTCGAAGGAACGTCTGCATTCTCCATCAAGTGAAGTAAATTGCATTGCATCTGGAAGTAAATGCATTCTCTCTATACGTTAATCCTGGAGCACAGGACAGCAATGTTCGAAAAAACTACTTGGGCCAGATCAAAGGAAAAATGGTAATAATAGAACAGTATAGATTTTCAAGAGCACCTGGATGTCTGTAGCTCCATTGACTGCAAAGGAGACGAGACACCCTGAGGTACTGGAAAATCCCAGACTGTGCCTATCTGCATGTTTAGATACAGAAATAATTCCAGAAAAATTAGGATCTCGATGATTTGGCTACTGAGAAAATGGCCATTTTATCCATGGTGCCATTTGGCATACAACTTAGGATTCAGTACGTTCAAGTATGTTGACACCCCTCTACCCCACTGTGGTGAAGAACACAGCCCACAGAGTTTCCTTGTATCTTTTGCAAAGGTAGACAGTAATTCAGTTGAACACTGGAAGCTGATGCACCTCCTTTGGGATTCTTTTCTCCCAATTTAAGGTAAGACAGGAGTCAGCCTGGACATCACTTGAATTACCAGTAAGAATACAGCCACAGGCTAGTTCTGCGGTCCTAACAGCATGTCTCATCAAATTGCTTTCAGAAACTGCTATGAGATGTTGTATTACGCTGTTCAAGAACTGTGCCCAAATCTCTAAATGCAGGCAAAAATCTGCATCAAAATGACTTCTCATGAGAACATCCAACTGCTTGCAGCATGCAAACATGGCCAACAGATTTCACCTCCCTGAAGACTCCTGTGAAATCTGCTTGTGGCATCTGGACTGCAAGAGCTTCTCCCTGCAGAGGGTATATTCCAAGGAAACTCCTGGTGAAGTCTGAGTGACCCCTACAACACACATCCATATGAAACTTGCCACTAAAAGCTTGCTGACCTACCAGGATTCCTCTAGTCCCCACCTGTTCTGGAGAACCATTAATTTGGCAACACTGATAGGGTGAGGAAAACAGAAAGTTAAGAGATTCTATGACTTCTCACCCCAAAATGGCTTAGTAAAGAAAGGAAACAAGCAAAACCCAACCACCTCATGTCTGGCAAGTGAGAGAGCTTGTAATACAGTGCAATTACCACCCAGTTTTGGCATGACTCACTGTAAGGAGAGACAATTGGGTTGAGGAGATGACTTTTTTTTTCTTCTGGAAAAACACACTCAATTCTTAATAATAATTAAAACAAGATAGAACTTTTCTGATGAAGTATTACCAATTCTGACAAAGCTGCCATTTTTACCTCGCCACAAAAATGTTTTAAAAGGCGACTCATAAATATTTTATACAAGTCCAAATTATATACTTGTCAATAGTTAGAGGAAGCATCAAGTCATCTGTTGATTAGCACTCAGCCAAACTGTGAACTCCTCAGCAGATCAAATGAGGAGGAATACGTTTCACATGAAAACAGACACCTGCCAACAGTTTACGTCTACCAGCAAGTATAAAAAGGTGTTGAAGTCTTAGATAGATTATATATGTGTATACTAATAAAGATAACCTGCTTAATTAGATATTTATGCAAAATGACCAATTTCTAAGGTAATACTAGTGGTAATTACATATTTAGCCACCAAGAATCCACATTAATGAATAGTACTTGCTGTGCAGCAGACACTGATCTTGTTTGCACTGATGTACTGCAGTCAGTAATAATGCTTTGCAATTAGTGTTTCGACTGGGCAGGATCTGGCCACCAGCAGACAACCACATCGCCTTCTCTGGAGGAAAGAAATGGCAGAGCCCCATTTTCAGTGCATTTTCTGCCATGAATTTGACTTTTAAATGTTGCTTTCTGGTATGTATTAAAATACCTCCTCTGCAGAACAACTTATGCATTAATGAGCAAAGGTGGTGGCAAGCTCGTACCGTACTACTTCGTATTTCAAATGACTGCCCTCGAAGTTTATAAAACAATGAAGGACCGAGTTCTCATGCGCAGGACTGTGTGGTTCAATGCCTGTGCATTCTGCCTACAGACCAAGTGGCATGGGACTGTCGCAGCCCAATCACACCAAGAGGGCTCTGTCAAAATGGAAAGACATGGCTCATCCATCTCCACGCTCCATTGCCAACAGAAAACTTTGTTTTCCCCAACTTTATCTCAAAAGCTGTTGGCAGCCAACAGGTTTCATACCTGCGTACTCCAACTGTAATATGCTGGCCATCTCAGCTGTAATATGCTGCATGTCTCAGCCCCAGGACCAGCAAACAGGAGAGCACAGAGCTGTTCCCTGCACCATCCTTGGCTCCCTCCTTCCTTATCTGCATAGCTGGCAGTCATGTTGGGCTCCAGCAGCTGTCAGACAATCCTTGACAAGGCTCCCTGGATCCCAGGGCACACTGAGTGAGATGGGAGGAGAGGCACAATTTTGGCACACTGCCCCCGGCATGGTCCTGTTTTTTGTATTACAAAACGTTTGTGGAGCTCGAGAAGGCTGCCAGGTCCAGCCCAGTCTACCGGTTGGTCTTTCCACTTCCTAACTGCATATACACCAAATGCAACTCTCCTTTCACTCCACTGAGAGGGAAGTCAGACCCTCCTTAACTCACTCTTCAGGAATCAGATCCACTTTGGTGCTGCTGACTGAACAGTTTTTGGGATATACACCTGTATTCTCTATCAGAAACCATTTCATTTTGTTAAGTGGCAGGGTTTTTCAGTCCCTGGGATTTTCTCCTTGTCTCTAGGATATTTTAAATATGGAACTTTTTCATGCCAAAGTGACGAATCCAGGTGAGAGAGACTGCATTATCTATTTCTTGGCTTCCTTGGCTGCACGGATCTCCAACCTAACAATCACCGTGCCAGGAGAGAAGCACTATACCTGAATCACACCCTCTGTTGCACTGTTTTTTCTCAGGACACCTCAATAAGGCTGTTAATAACTTCATTTTCTCATGGCAAATTAGCAAAGCTATTTTCTTGTCTACTTATTCCTGAATCAAATCAGAGAGTTTTCCTCAATTAATCTCCCATTATTCTCTTGATTCTGTCATACACACTCACTACTAAACTTGCCCTCAGATTATTGCGTCATGTTACACATGTACAGACGAAGAAAGGACACACTTTTACTTTTTTTTTTTCTTTTTTTTCTTTTTTTTTTTTTTTTAAGAGAAGTAGGGAGAGGGGGCTGAATGTGCAGACAAGGCAGTATAATTCAACCATCCAAGCCCTACCAGAGCATGAAGATTTTATTTTTTAATATTGCAGAGTAAGTTTCCCAACAGTCAGTGTTTGTCCCTGAAGAAGGTTAAACCTTAAACACCTGCTTCAAAAAAAAAAAAAAAAAAAAAAAAAAAAAAAAAAAAAAAAAAAAAATCCACAAAGAAACAACCCAACAACAGAAAAGAACCAAAACCAAAACAGAAACAAAACAGAAACAAAAAAAATAAAATAAACCAACCAAACTCTAAGCCTAAGGGCTTAAAAATTAGAGGCATAGCCTTTTTCTCTATTTTCTATATTTATATGAAAATAATTCATGCTTCATGCTAAATACATTATTTACCTTACAAGAACTTTGTCATCTTTGAATTAAAAAAATTGTTTGCTTTTTGTGTCCCCCCCCCCCCTCCACTTCCAAAAGGAATCCATGCAGTGTGGATCTTTTTTCTGTTTTCTGCTGGCTACGCTGGTTGAATCTGGAAATCTGTGGTTTTTGCACAGATGAATCCTGACTGACATTAACTGCAAAGCTCCCTTCTGAGGGCAGTGTAGGAGCTGTTCTGTTGAACTTAATTTCATTGTTCATCAATATGCTTTCCTGTTGTTGTTTTTTTAAATTACAGAATAATACTAATGGCAGGTTTTGTAGCTTTTTTTTCCCTCAGATCAAATATTTGATCCACACAAAAGGATTCTGATTTATTTTCTTAGACTTGATATCTACTGTAATTTCTTAGACTTGATTGCTTTTCACTCAGGCAGTTTAGAAGACACAGCTTGTTTTTCCCTATACTATTATTTTTTGCACGCAGTGCCAATCTTCGGGCTTATGGCTTTTTGAACATTCAGTTAATTTAATATAGAAGACATAATTCAACGATTAGCAATGCTATTAACAGTGCCACCACCCCCTCCCCCCCATTTCTTTTCATTATTTCACTCATTGCATACACAGTTCCAACTTCCCAAAAGTCACCAGTCTTCCCGCTAGGAGCCACATACCGTACACGACGCACTGGAAGTGCATTACAGTATGCGCAGCTGCCACCAGTGGCTGTCCAAAGACTTCTACGGCACGGTGAATCCAAGTGCCACTAGATGGTCTGTGGTTTGGTGTGAGAAGTACACGCCTTCTCTTTCCCCCAAATCTCTTTCTTCACATTCACTCACATCCCAATTGTAAGGCCGTTAAAAAAATTCCTAAGGGCTAGGCCTGAATGACTACTAAATTATGCAATCTCTTCTAGTGTAAGAGAGATTTCCAAGTGCCCAATCTTATCCCATCACAACAATGTTGATGTCACTGCGTATTCAACCATGCATTTTTTGACAAGCCGGAGAAAGCAATGGCGATTTTGGCTTTTTTTTTGTTGTTAACTTTTTCTCTTCGGGTAATGAAAAGCTTTTGTAAATTAGCTGAGTGTCAGTATGAGTTCTATGGCTTCAATCTCCTTTAAAAATAAAAATCTTAAGGGTCCAAAAAAAAAAAAAAAAAAAAAAGGAAAAAAAGAAAAAAAGAAAAGAAATAAAACCAAATAGAAAGAAAAACGAAAAAGGAAAAATTGCTGATATTGCCACAAATCATTAGAATTCACCTGACGTGCTGAAACAAAACTTTGTAAGTTCAAACAAATCATTGATTTGTTCTAATTTTTTGTGGTTTCCTTTTGCTCTTTCTGCCCCTTTGCCGTCCGATTGGTGATGTTATTCAAACAGGATCGGATTCCCGCTAAATGCAGGAGGGATCCCGCTGCTTCTTTCATCTCCTCATCGTCACTCTCAGGGGGCTTTTCAGTACGTCTCTTTTTAAGAGGCAGTGTGTCACTTGGTACTTTTTTCGCCTTCATTAAATGTTGCCTTTTCTTGTGCTGGGATGCATACCCACTGTCAGCTAAAGAATCCTTGGTCTCCTTCCGATTTTGCTTTTTGTCCTCCTCTTCTGTTTCACTATGGCTCTCATGGCTCTGGAAGCTGACTTCACTTCCTTCACTGCTGTCTTGGCTACCTTTAGTTGCAAATTCATACTGGTCATCAGCAGAGGAAGAGGAAACGGAGTCACTAGCAGGTGATGTGCTCCTGTGGTTGGAAGATTTGGCACTGCTGTAGTTGTGATCCTCCTTCGGGTCGCCGCTAACAACGGGGGAGCCACAAGACTGTTCGCTTTCTGTCCGCATCCGGCAGTTTGTTATCCCATTCCTGGAAAAGCAAATTGAAGTAGTTGAAAAAACCGCAGAGAAGTAATCCTGCTTCAGTGCAAAAAATAATAAGGTGAAAACAACTGACAGGCAATCGAAAGTTATGATTACTGAAGTAACATCCGGGCAGGCCACTTTCAAAGCCTGAGTTTTTACAATTGCTCGCAAATTGGACTGTACACATTTTTCATGGCAATAGATACACAGCAGTACAAGAGGCAGGAGCAAGGAAGGTGGCTGTAAGAACTGATGTCTGGGTGGTCCTGATCCATGTTTTAAAAAAATAATTAAAAAGTTTTAATTGCTAGATTTCAAATAAGTTCTGCGGAGTTACATAAATATCCTCCGACCTTTTCAAATGATACTACTAAAAACGCGAGGAAGAGACACCAACTTCCTGGTGTTCTGCCTCTGCTCCTCTCAGAGACTCCTTCTCAGTTCTGCCATTCCCAGGCAGGAGGATTTCAGCTGGAATCTGTGCGGTCCCAGATGGGACATTTTTGACAGTCACGTTTTCAACTGCGATCAGTTTGTGGATCTTAAAAACAATGTGATTATAAAACACTGCCAACAAAACATTAAAACGTATTCAAAAACAAACAGTATCAAAAAATCTGATTTAGCTTTAGAAATTTTCATTTTCCTCTTCGTTTTTATGGCACATAGCTCCCAGCGCTGTAGGAACTATGGCAGCACAATATATTAAAAAACTAATGGTGTCCCCTTCTGCACTGGAAGATATCACAGCATTACCAATGACTTCACAATAGAGAACACAATGCTCGCAAGTCAGCCGCAGAATGGACTGCCTCTGTGCAGTGTTTAATTTCCACTAGGAGAGGGAGATGCTCATCCCTGAGTTCATCATCATTTTCCCTGCCTGTTCACCAGCCTTGAACTCCTCTATCAATAAAAACCAAAATCAAAAACAAGCAAGGCTGTTTCATCTGTCACATGATAAACCACTTGAAAATCAGGTCCTGCCACCTTCGTGCCATCACCACAGTGCTTTCATACAGTCATGACTGCGTTGGTTAAAAATGCACAGTGAACACAGGTGCTTCTTAACTGAAATGTGACAGTGACCAGGGGTAGCCCTGTTTCTGCTTTAAAAATGGGAAAGTGCTTTAGTTTTCAGGGAGTGTTGCACAGGTCTGGTTTCTTTACAGAATGAACAACAGAGCATTTTAGATAGGTATGGTTGAAAGGTGGAAAATACAGAAGAGGTATATAATCCCTCAGTTCCTATTCATCTCAATGCACTTATCTGTGGAGCTTACTGAAGTAAGAAACAGCTTCTGAGAACCAGTGACAGGACAGTGCTAAAAGGCAGTGCATTAATCAGTCTCTCCAAATGTTCTTATTTACAGTACTTTCAGATAAATATATGTAACAGAAGGCACAGTTATTAGCAGCCACTTTTGCTCAATAAAATTATTTTCACTTAGATTTTCAAGTAGCTTTATGATCCATAAATTATATACAAAACCCAGAAGGAATACACAATGCTCCTTCAATTATTAATAACTAAATGCAATGTCATTCATGATTGTGCAGCAAGCCAGCTGCATTTATTTTGCGATGGTTTCCCACTGCAGGGGTTGTCATTAGAGGATGCCAAATGCTTAAAAGAAGAAATCATCCATACTAAACTAGTTGAAAGGTGAATTTATAACCAACTCCTTAAGATCAGTCATTATGAGGAAGCATGTGATGCATTTTAAGTGACAGATTCTTCATTTTTAGGGTAAATTTACATTTAAATATGTTCAAAATTATCATAAATTTGCATAAAATTAAAGTTACTTGATTTTATTAGTCAGGGCACTGTGTCTCAATAAACATCACATGTTCCTAGTCCCCCATATAAAACCACCAATAAATTCTTGCTCCAGGGGAAAAAACACACAGGACAGAATAGATAGGAACCCAAGTAGAATTCTTATGGATTAGGTTACTAGTGAAAAAGGCTTCTGAAAGATGGGATTTAAATCAAGATGCCCAATTTTGTGTTATCAGATCTACTTCTATTTGCTCTCAAAAACTATCAATAAAAGGAAAACAAGAGTTGCATGGAGCAGAGCAACCATGTGCCAAAAGACCACCCTGGCTTGCCCACTCTTGAGTCTAGTGTTTGCTTTTCCATAAAGGGGCTCTAATTTGGATTCAAAAGCTCTGCCAAGGGACATACTCCAGATCCCAATCCCCTAAAAAAAAAACCAAAACCAAAACAACAGAAAAATGGAATGAAAAGGCCCAGGGATTACAGGAGCAATGTCCTGGGGGAAAGTATACTACTATGGGGTTAGAATCCCACAGGAATGATTGCAAACAGGGATGATGGCAAAGAAAGAGAGAAAAGGACAAAAAAAAAAGGACTTTAAAATAAGTGGGAGGAGATAAGAAATACTGCATTTCAAAAGAAAAGGAGCTATGGTGGAACTGGTCAGGAAATGGACAGCATTTGCATCTCAGAAAAATCTTTATATTTTTCACTTACATTTTGAAAGATTTCCAACCAGTTCTGCTTGGGGAAATAAAAAAGGAAGAGAAAGAAGGTCAAGGAGAGAAGTAGCAAGGGTTATCTGCAGAGATGAAAATGAGTTATACAGGCAGAGTGACTTAGAATATTCATCAGGTCAAAATTCACGTAGCCTGAAAGTAAATCCATCTGATAGGCAACAGGCCAAAACATAGGAAGAATTAGTTAGAATTGATATTAGTACGTAAGTAAGAGTTGAATAAACTTTCATCTAAATCATTAATAATCCACACATGCTTCTCAGACATTGTCAAGCTTCATACTGTACTCGTACCCACTCACGCACTCGCTAACACATCAATCTGGTGATCTACTAAGTTCAATGCAGATCATCAGCAGATGAATTCCCTCAGGCTTCAGGGGACAGATTTTGGCCAGCTGAATCTATTTTTGCTCAAAATTCTGGTTGTGATTCTAACTTTGTCACTGAAACAACAATAATTGTTTTAAAACAGGCACTTGCTCTGATGTTTGGATTAGTATTAAATTATACTGAAGAAGAAAAAATATTTAAGAGTTGCGTGCTTAGTGTAACAGTGAGGCAAAATTTAAAGTAATACCTTATAATTTCCCCATTTTCTAGTTCAGCACTTCATTTCAAAATTTCCAGAAACTGACGTGTTCTCAAATATGCCCGCCTTTGTCAGGAAAGGCCATGGGGCAGTCTCTGGAGCCTTTCATCCTACAGAGTCTTATTTGCTTGAGGGTTCTTAACCACAGTTCTACACCTAAAAGTACCATGCAGATTCTTTTAATATTTCAATTTGGCTGTAGCACAATTACACAACCCTCAAGGTCTACAGAGATAAGTCGGCCTTTTGAAAGCCTGATTCCATTCCCCTTGTAAATTGATATGAGTTACTAATTTCATCAGGAGCAAAATGGAGCCTACAGGAGCTGGATCTCAATGCAGTAATGAAACAATTGCTTTTGCACAGTGTCACTGCTTCTGCCTTTTAAAGGGATCTTCCTTGGGATGCAGCAGAAGTAAGTCTCCATTCTGTCTGCAACATGGCAAGAAGTTTGACTGAAAAACACTCACTGTATTCCATGTTAGACACAGGTATATTCCTTTGTTGAACAAAACAAACCTACATAAAGTTTAAATACCAGCTTAATCCCTCTAAACATTTTGGATGACAGGTAGTGCGAGTTTTGGAAACAGGCAGTTCATAGAATCATAGAATCACCAAGGTTGGAAAAGACCTAAGAGATCATCCAGTCCAATCGTTCACCTATTCCCAATAGCTCCAGTTAAAAGATATGAAGAAAGCAATACAGTTTGCTACCGTCAGTTGAATGTATGCATTCTGTCAGGCTCCAGGTTTGCTAACACACTCTTTTACCATAAAGGCAATACGATTTCAGAGGAAAATTCAGGATTTTTTAGATACAGGTAGTTGAACTGTTATTTATAAACACTACATACCAGCAGATGGGACAATAAGCAAGCATATGGAAGATAAGTGATGCTCACTTGTTGTATGAAGAGATTCTATCAGGGGCTATTGAGTTAAAACAAGTCAGATACACTACTGATGGAAGCTCTTACAGAGACACTTCACAGAGTAATTGTATGCAAAGAACCATAACAAGCATGAATCATGAACTGCTAGCAAAAAGAGCACTCTGTCAATAGCAACAGCAAATCTGAAGTTCAGGCAAATGCAGCCCTCTTCTTTTTGCAGGAGAAATAACTGTCAGCTACATCTTTGGTCCTTCAGTCATCCCAATGGAAACACACCCTGCCTGCTGCAGGTGAAAAGGGGAAAGCAATCCAACAAGGATGATGTGGGGTTTGTTAAGCTGGATGTATCAGTAATACACTAGAACATTAAGAATATCCACTTAAGAATTTATAAAAGGAAATATCTACCAGTTCCTTTAAGCAGAAGTAATTGTGTACAGACACGAGAGCATATAATCCTACAATGCTTTGGCATCTATGCTGCACATGTTACTTATGTTTGGTTTATTTAATCACTCTTGAATAATGTAGTAATTGCCCTACAAATTTGAAGTTAAAATAATCATAAATAAAAAATCTTGCCTCTTCAAATAAAATTAGGCATAACAGCCATTCCTGTCAAACTCCAGTGATGATGAGCAGCAGAGGAACTGCAGCAAGGTATCTGTGACCTGCCCACTGCAGGAAGGGAAAACTTAGGCTTAGCAGGTTTGCTTTGCTGTGGGAAGGATGTGCACAGACACAATCCATGCATGTGCTAAAGGAAACCAACGCAATTTACAGAGATCATGGTGAGAGGTTTCTGCTGAACGCACTGGCACTGTAGTCCAAAATGCTCTACCAAGCTCATGCTCTCCCAAAAGGTTGGTGTAATTGGTACCACCTTACAAATTCAGAATGTGACTGCATCTGACAGAGCTTCCTGCACCTTGCCACCATGCATGCTGCAGATGCACTGGCGATTTTGACCATGCCTACTGAAATGTATACAGAAGTCCTCCTATAGAAACATCTAAAGGATATTTTCTAATTTTACAGTTAAGAGCAAAAGCTCACCTTCAAAGCACAGTCAACTCCATGTTCATGTAAGCCACTACTTACTTTGATTGCTTTCACTGAATACCTTTTTAAGTCAGTATTTTATTTTCTGTGCGTTCAGAGTAGCACAGTGCATTTGCTTTTAGATTCACTTGGGGAACTGTATGGTGATACGGTCTGCCAAAAATACATACGATGGATCTCATGTAAGAGACATGCTACACACTGCACAGCTTTGAAAACCTTATTTTCTCCTGCTGTCTTTGGGTAGGTCTTAGACTTGTCAGCTACAACATGGAAAATACGGATGATAAACAAGCTAAAAGAAATGAGAATAAAGGAAATAAAAAGCTACTGTCAGAACACAACCAATTATGCTCTGCTGTGGAGATTTAACACCACTGGATGATTTTCAAAGTAAAAACAGTGTGGGAAGCCTTCTCTGTTTGTAGATTGGTTTGGGATGAAAGGCCTATTTGTGCAATTTAAGCCAAATGCACTACAACGTAACGACGCCATCTTCAACTGCTATTCTTTATTTATGGAAACTGGTGGACTTCTTGCTTCTAAATACTTTTTAGTAGGGTTTTTTAATTCATCCTACTTAGATCCACCATATTTTGTTTTATATATAAAGGATAATGTAATTGTATGTAGTTACATGGAAGCAACAACACATTGATATCTTGTGCAGGGACAGAACAGCAAGAATCACACAGTTAACTTGCCTACTAATGGGAGCTAATGTATCAGAAATCACTGATTTCAATGTCTCTTAGCTCTGTGCTGTGGTTTCAGTCTCTCTTCTGAATAACGGATTTATCAAAACATTCTGCTTAATTAGAACTGCAAATTTAACCCAAGATCAAACTTGTTACTCTATTTTGACAGTAACGGCAGTCTGCACATCAGGGTAACATACTGCAGGTTATTTGCACGTGGTCCTCTTGGTAACAAATCTAGCTGCATAGACTTATCTTTCATTTTGCTGTGTTCTTCAGCATATGACGCAGAATGGAAACCTAAGTGAAGGCAAAGGACAGTGCAACAGAACTAAATTAACAGAAACCTGGTTTATGGCTTTTCATTCAGAACATCAGAGGAACTCTTCTCCAGAAAATACACAACTAAGTAAAATCTTATTGGATAGAAGGTGTCTGGCCTTCCCTGAATATATAGGTTGAGGGACACAATTTCTGCAGGTTAACCAGAAAATCAGACTACACCACTTGCTATGGCTGCCCAGCAGACCTGCTGCTGGTGAAAAAGCTGGAAGGGGACATTTCTGAAAACATCCCCTGCCATCCTGACGAGGGTAACTCCCTGCACACAGGGAAGGCAGCTACGCACAAGCAGTACTCCCACTCTTCACAGCAGAAGAGGAATGCTGCACAGACACTGTGATAAACTCCCTCTGCTGTACACAGTAAGCAGAAGTTGTATGGATTTCCATGAGATGCCACAAAAGCTCAGCACAACAGGCTCCATTTAGCTGTGCATATCTGAAGAGAGGAGCAAGCACCAAGAAACAGGATGTTGTTTTTACAGTAACAGAAATATCCAGTTTTCAGAGGTCCAGACGATGTTCTAAGAGGTACTATGCATCCAAATGGACTTTCCTAAAGAAATTCTGATTCTTAATATCCCCAGCAGGCAAAAGACAAAACTGTCTTCTGAACTTGCTCTGCTGCAGAGAATCCCTTAACTTATCTAAATCTCTCACAGCCTCTTCCCTGCTCTCCCCCCACTTTTTTTTCCCCAAGAATTAGAAGATATTGCAGAAGCTCCTGAAGAAGAGCAGACATCATGCAGACCAGCAATATATTCCTAGTAAGCTATTTCTACTATTGCCTAAGGCTGGAGAAGAGAACAAAAAGAATTAGAAATATGTCTGCGTTAACAAATTTTAAACGCTCTTCTGTGAGACAGAGTAAAAAGAACGTAAGCAAGGGAGGGGTAAAATCCCTTATCTCCCAAATCTAGATTAGCATGCAGCAGGGGACGGTCCTGTTCTACCTGCTGACCCTCTCCCACTCTAAAGAGAAGTCCTCAGAAATGTATAAAAGTTAACTATATGCAGCCTTACAACACGGCAATTTGGAGATGTCTACACAGAAGAAAGTTTTTGAGTGGCCATGGATGGAAAAACAGATCTATCTCCTCCTTAACTTAACCCTGATTGCAGAACAGACAGTCTCCTCTTCCTAAGGAAGGGCCCTAAGCTGGAAGTGCAGATAAGCTGCATATTCAGAGAATATTCAGACCACTGCATCTTCTGTTTAGCTTGGTCACTTCCTAAATGCATGTATACAAATGTATAAATGTATGTATACAATATACAATCCATCAGTCCTATAGCTCTGCAGTCCCCTCTGCAGCAGAATACAAGTACCAGCAGAATACAAGTACAAGGCCAAAGCCAGAAGCAGAGCCACAGAAGATGGCTGCCCTCCACTGCTAGCAAGACCAGACAGCAGAAAAGTGAGATGGAGAGAAACTCTGCAGACTTCTGGGGGATGACCCCTAGGGCTGTATCTCTACAGCATAGCAAATATGAAAAACAGTTGAAGCAGCTGCCCATCAAAGTTAGTGTCTTTCATCCTCTGCATTTTCAGTCATCAAGATTACATGAATATCTCTCTCCCTCCATTTTTTTGGATGTAAAAACTATCCCCAAAGAGCTAGACAATAATTCTGAAAAGAGATAAAAAATAAAGTGCAATGAAAAAAATCCCAAGTAAATAATGATGGAACAAGTAGCTATCCAGCTCCTTCATTTCACTGCTTTGCAACCACTTACTGAGATTAGTGTGCAACTGGAACAGCCCAGCAAAGCAGCGCCAGCACTGAACATGAAATCCCACCCAGAATATCCAACTGCCTGAGCGGGCTTTTACCGCTAATGTGAGTTTTGAAAGAGCACTGGCAGCACACTTGATGGAATTATTCTCTGTTATGACTGACACAAAACGGAGCTACACCTGAGGCAAATTGTTCGTGCAACAATAAACCATCACTACTTTAAGTAAAGCAAACCGCTGAACCACAGTTCTTATTGCCATCACTAGATGTCCCTTAGTGCCCTGCTTTCTGGAAAAAAAGTCGAGGATCTTCAAACAACATTTTACCCTTGAATGTCTCAGTATAACCTTGAAATAGAATCTGTAATGAAAGAAACCATCTCACAGAGACCTACATTAATAACAAAATAACAGCTATAGGTATTTAATCCCAGAAAAAAGAATCAGGAAACTGTCTTTAAAGGGGGATGGGGTCAGGAAAACACATCTGCACTAAGAAAAAGAGGCCACCCGAGGAGCTTCTTACAGAAAGCTGCCTTCAACTTGCTAGTGAAAACAAAACGATGTTCTTTGTACGCCTTTATGAAATGAGACAGAAATGCCATGACTATCTTGCAAAGAATGGCAGTCCGTGAGTTTTGGATGGCACAGTGTCTCTTTCATTTAAAATCTCCTAAGTATTAGCAAGCAGTAAATTTTCTTGTGTTCCAAGTTTATGCATATTATTATATTATCTGCAAAATAATAATTTATTCCATAAGGATCTCACAATGAGCCACTCTTACCTTACTGCAACAGCCATGCTTCCTATAGGGCTGATTGGCAATGGCCTGGCTCCAGGAAATATTCCTCTACTCAGAACTCGAGCTCCATTCTGTATCACTCCTGGAGGAACTAAAAAACAAAAAGGAGTATATTTTTTCTTTTAAAGAAAACATCAGCAAAGTGTGTGAGCAAAACGTGAATGTTAAGCTTTTCAGTGAATTGAGAAAACATCGGAGAGGCTTGTATAGTGCACTGCTTACCTTCCAGCATCTCATCTCAACTCGTGTGAATGCCATCCTATTTTCAATGCTATTTTCATTGCAAATATTTTGACAGCAACTAGTGATAAAGTGGCTTGTGGAAGCCACTGCCTGACCTAGTTGCTGCAGATCATTCTTTGTACAGTCGAATCACTGGTTTTATAATCACAGCTCTTCTGGGAATGTATGTGCTTACGAGTCAAAAACAGCTCTGAGCATAGATGTAACTTTCATTTACTGTAAGAAACAATGACCCTTTACAGACAAACAGAATGTAAGCAGCCAGCAGTCAGGTACCTGCAGCATGCAGCCTGTTCACAGGCCTCAGTGAGGGGCAAAGACACTGGCCACTGGGGATAGGAGGTTTCACTGGGGTCTTGTCACTGTGCTGGGCATCGGGCACTGCAGCTCTGTCCAATAAGAATTTAACCAACATCCAAGTACTTCATTTCTACAGAGGTGCTTTTCTGTGTCCTCATCATTTTCTTCTTCCTTGTTGGGCTGCAGGACTACTGAACACAGCACTTACCAGGGACTTGGGCATAACTGCACAAATGTTAAATCCCTGCAGACAGAAACCACTAATAGCCTTCACTCAAACATGCTTCTTTAATGTCCATAATCAGCCTGTTTTTCTTACTAAAAGTCAGCATTTGTACATACCTTCCCCTAACGCGCAATGTCCGAAAGGACAATGGTTACCATTACTGTGTATGTGTTACTTTTAAATATATATAGAAAAATACATATTAAATAAACACAAACAGCTACAGAATTTTACTTTCTAAGGTTGTACTTCTGCAAATACAGAGTGACTAGAAAACTCATTCAGCCTAAGAATCAAAGTACACTTTTACACTTCACACGCCCAACTTCAAATGCTCATACTCAAAAACATTAGTGAGCTTTGAGGCAGAGAAATAAATCCAGGCCTAGAAACACATTATTTTTAAGCTGCTGAGGTACCTATCAACACCAAGCCGGAGCCACGCTCCCCTTCCTGTATCCTGATGCTCACCTTGCTTCATTCCAGACCACAAGGATTAGTCCTGGAAAAATAATCTTCTTTCCTCCTGCTGGTGACAGCACATCACCCCTTAATCAAATCCTGCCACTGTGTGATACCACCCTTGCTTCTGAGAACCTCTGAAGAATAGGTCATTTATATTTAGGTGCTTAAGTACAAACTCAAATGGCCAAAATTACAGAACCTACGTTGTAACAACAAGGGTCAGCTTTCAATGACCAAAATAATTCTAAAATCACTTTTTGCTATTTATACTTCACTACTTTGTGCACATTTTCTTCCAGCACTAGATTATGAGAAATCAATCGTGTACACTTCACTCGGGGCTTTCAATGTTCCTGTGTTTGGGTTTGTAAATAATACAGAGGAATGTTCTCTTGCTAATAACTCCCAAGTCGGAGGTTTTTTTATTTTGTTTCATATTTCTTTCATAGCATAACCTTATGAAGGCCAAAACAAAGACATTATAAAAGTGAAATGATCTGCTCAAGGATACGTCTAGCAGAAAACACACAAAGAATGGGCAAATTTAAAGTAACATATGAACTTGCTAAATATCTGAAGATCAATGAAAAGACATAATTTCCAATGGGCATTGTTTCCCAGCAGGCTTACAAGAGGGACAGATTTCATTCTTCACTACACAGTACAGTTTCTGTGTATTTACAAAGTCCCCTTAAAAGAAATGAACCAAGAAATTTGACCTAGAGAGATATGGTAATTTCATCTTTACTCAGATACAAACCATAGTTTTATACTGAAATAAACCATTTAGGCATGCACACACGCACTCACTTGTCAGTTAGCTATGTGTGCTGACTAAATAAATATACATACACAACTTCAAAGCAAACACATTGGCAATTCTGCTGCAAGAAAAGGAGCAACAGACTCCCTGATGCCCAAACTCTTCTTTCCACAGTGACTTAATTATCCCAGTCTGTTGGCAAAGTTAGCTGATATTTATCTCAGCCCTTCTTCTCTCCTTTCTCCCTATTTCTGCCTTACTGGCACCCCTTTAAGAAATTGGTTCTTTAAAAAATCCTGTTTACTCTTACCCATCACTTCTCTGAAACCATTGGGTCATGTCTTTTCTTCTTGGCTTTCTCAGAGTTTCAATTTTTTGCACTCTTATGTACATAAAGTACACCATGTTTTGTAGCTTGGAGTTTGTATTTATTAATATCCACATTCACACCGCTCCTCCATCCATAAGTCATGCTGTGCTACTTGGGAATGACCTCTTCAAAAGTTTCACATTTAAACAGATTCCAGTCTGAGCACACAAACATTTTCAACCTCTTCCCTTCAGTAATTAACAAATGCTAAGGAGAAGAAAAAAAGAAAAAATAAAAAGAAGTTCACTGCCCTTTGGAACTATCCCCAAGGAGACCCCCTGACACACTGGTACCTATTCCTATGTATGAAATTCACCTCAGTTACACCTGGTTTGTTCAGTGTGCCATCCAAAGACTTCAGTAGTACTGATAGTACCAAAAGAAGCCTTAATTTTTCTTAAGTATGCCACAGCTCTGAATATTGAAATTAATACTCAGAATTCAGTAATTATTTCAGCTTGCAATGCAGTGATTGGTCCTCATTTCTCTTTTAGTTTCCCAAAACACTCTGAATTACAATGCAGCAGTACTGCTGCATCACTAGTTAAGCCATGCAAACAAACAGAAAGGCTGTGTACAAGGGATCAACCACAGGAGAAACCCAGATAGTGCAGTGTATCTTTCCTGTAAACATCTGGAACCAGCAAGAAAAAAAAACCTGTTGTTAAAGGAGTTTCCACAGCATCCTTAACATAAAACAGAAAAGCAGTGGTGATCAAAACAATGCAGCAGCAGAAGTTATTAACTTCTAGGTTATCCACACAGCTGGCATGGCACTGTGTGACTGCTACCTACTGCATTCCGAGCAGCATCAACACCCATCCCTCCAAAGATGACAGTAATTTATTTTGAATTGTTGATACCTACAAACTGCCAATGTACATGTTGTCCCTGATAGCCGGATACTATCCCTGCCTTTGCACAGGTTGTATGAAATGGTTACTGATTATCCAAGGAATTATTTTCACACATTGGCACTTTTGAGGGCTTTTGGGTTATTTACTGGAAAATATGTAGAGCTTTCATTCCAAAGATAAATTTGTGCCTCCCTAGCTTTAATTAAGTTTTGAAACCATACTTTGAGGTTAGTTATTTATATTTTAGATTGAAAATTCAAAGTGTGGAGGCAAAACAATTTACTCTAAGCCGTATCAAAAATCAGAGCTGGTGTGTACTATCACCATCCAGTCCTGAGTCCTCTTTTGTAATGCTTCTTTAACCAAAGGCACAGGCAGGTTACATGGATCCACATTCCTAGGCAGAAGTGTGAAATGTAATTTACACCTTTTCTGTGTTCCTAGAGACGGTGATGTCTGAGGAATACATCTCAAAAAAAAAAAAAAAACAATGCAAAAAGATCAGTACACCTCTTTGATTAAAGGTTTCTTCTTTCATAAAACGTTCTTAGTGAAACTTGAACGGTCTGAAAGAATAAAATCATTATTTGCTCTTCAGCTTCCATCGCTGCTTTGCTCTGAAAGTGGCAATGGATCTCATTTCTTTCCCAGAAAGCTTAAAACCCAAGAAATATTTCAATTAGAGTAAATAGAGATAAACCATACAGAGAATTTGCCTCTAATCTGTTGCATTAAGGAGGCAAAGGATTTTTGATCTTACTCTGTTCTGGTGAAATTCCACAACTGGAACAGAATTTGGTGGAATTTCAAGTCTCTAGTACTTGACTGCAGAGAAGCAATACGTATAACATCAAAAATCACAGCTACATCTATAAAATTCTCCAAGGAGGAAATAATCTTTCTTTTATATTCTACAGCAAACTTTTACATTAACAAGTTTCACAGACAATAAAGTAAATGCCATGTGGTAGAACCTGCCATAATCAGAATCCATCAAAATGTTAGATAACATTAAAAAGATCCAACAGAACCATACAAATTGCTGCTCTGCAGACTGCACCCAGCAGCTTGAGGTGGAAAATAACACGGTGGCTGCATGACCATCCCACAGCTGGTGCAGGACTGTTCCAACTGAGCATATTCTTAAGTGCACTGTCTCAAACTGTGGGACTTCTTTTATCACAACCCTTGGCAGATGACACCTATAATCTCACAGAGCGTGTGTGTCAGAAACAAACTCCTCCTGTCCAGCTGAGCTAACAACCCTGTCCAAGCCCTTCACAACAACCAAACCCAGGTCAGACTGGTCATCTTTCCCTGAAGAGATGACTGTTCAGCACACAGTGTATCAAATCAGCAAAACGTAAGTGGAAATGGTGGAGGAAATACTCAGCAGAAAGTGTCAGCAGACACACTGATGCTCCAACTCCTCACTAAATAAGGAACACAGCTTCTTGGTCAAATGTTGGCGTGAGGAAGTTAACTCAGCATTAATAAATTGTTGTAAATTAAGGAAATTAATAAGAAAAGGGTAATGGACATGTTCTTTACATCATCTGGGAAACAAGCACACTCTGTTAAACTCTCTAGCTCAAGGTAGCCAACTGTTAGAGTAGTGAGGAGAAACGAGTTTTTACTGAAGTGAACATTTCAAAGCATGAAGGTGGTATTCTGTTGGGGCAGACTGGTTTCTTCTGCCTCTCCTGTCATCATGTGGCACACGCGTTTATGTCAGCCTCTCTTCCCTGAGTCATCTCATGTAGCATGGATGAAATTACTATAGGCAGGAGATACTGAATGTCTGCTAATATCTGTCAGCTTTAGATTCTTTCTGCCAGTTCCTCCTTCCAGGACAGCATTTAGCAGA